TGGGATCCGAACCCTCGGCGGGAGCGCCGCCGCACTTCCCAAGCGGCGCACTGTAGCAGTGCGCCACCGGGCCAGCCCCCCACAGTCAGTTTTAGAACATTTTCATCATCCCCAAAAGAAACCTCATCCTTATTAGCAGGACTTCTCTATATTCTCCCTCTCCCCATACCTAGCAACCACTAATTTACTTTGTATGGATTTGCTTATTCTGTATACTTACTTTAAATGGAATCATAAGTTAATATGGTCTTTTGTGACTGGATTCTTTCACTTAGCAGAACATTCTCAGAGTTCATAATGTTGTAGCATGTATTGGTACTTAATTTCTTTTTACTACCAAATTGTATTCCATTGTATGGATATACTTAAGTTTTATTTATCCATTCATCAGCTGATAGACATTTGGGTTTCTATCTTTATTTTTTTATTTTTTTGTCTTTTTGTCTTTTTTTGTGACCGGCAACGGATCGCAACCCTCAGTGTCGCGCCCGTACCGGACCGGGACCGGCAACGGGATTGCAACCCTCGGTGTTGCTCCCTCACCTCGCTCAGCCAGTGAGTGGCCGGTCTGTATGTGGGATCCGAACCCTCGGCGGGAGCGCCGCCGCACTTCCCAAGCGGCGCACTGTAGCAGTGCGCCACCGGGCCAGCCCCCCACAGTCAGTTTTAGAACATTTTCATCATCCCCAAAAGAAACCTCATCCTTATTAGCAGGACTTCTCTATATTCTCCCTCTCCCCATACCTAGCAACCACTAATTTACTTTGTATGGATTTGCTTATTCTGTATACTTACTTTAAATGGAATCATAAGTTAATATGGTCTTTTGTGACTGGATTCTTTCACTTAGCAGAACATTCTCAGAGTTCATAATGTTGTAGCATGTATTGGTACTTAATTTCTTTTTACTACCAAATTGTATTCCATTGTATGGATATACTTAAGTTTTATTTATCCATTCATCAGCTGATAGACATTTGGGTTTCTATCTTTATTTTTTTATTTTTTTGTCTTTTTGTCTTTTTTCGTGACCGGCAACGGATCGCAACCCTCAGTGTCGCGCCCGTACCGGACCGGGACCGGCAACGGGATCGCAACCCTCGGTGTTGCCCCCGCTCCTCGCTCACTGGCTGAGCGGCCGGTCTGTATGTGGGATCCGAACCCTTGGCGGGAGTGCTGCCGCGCTTCCCAAGCGGCGCACTGCAGCAGTGCACCACCGGGCCGGCCCATTATTATTATTATTATTATTTTTTGCTATTATGAATAATGCTTCTATGAATATTAGTGGACAAGTTTTTGTGTGGACATATTTACATTTCTATTGAGTATATACCTACTAGTGGAATTTCTGGTCATATGATAACTCTATGATTAACTTCTTAGGAATTGCCAAACTATTTTCCAAAGTGGCTGCACCATTTTACATTCCCACCAGCAGTCAGTGAGAGTTCCAGTTTCTCCACGTTTTTGTGAAGGTGAAGCAGTATCTCATTGTGGTTGCTTTTTTTAAAAGACTTAGAAGTTTGTAGGGAACCTGCTAGAAGATGCTCCTTGAGTTCAGAGACAATGTCGAAGGTGAATTTCAGTCCCTGGCCTATATGTTTCTGTTATAATATATGTATTTCTGAAAAAAACTCATGTTTAGCAAAATTGTGCGTTTGAAAGCAGGAGGGCTATGACACAAATAGGGTTAGGGTAGGCTACTCAAAACATGCAAATTGATATCTATAAGATACAAAACAGTGATTAGTACCTATAAGATAAAAAGCAGTGATTAGTACCTGATAGGAGGGCTATGACACAAATAGGGTTAGGGTAGGCTACTCAAAACATGCAAATTGATAATCTATAAGATACAAAACAGTGATTAGTACCTATAAGATAAAAAGCAGTGATTAGTACCTGAGGAATATTTTTATGCCCTCCAACCCCATTAAAGGAAACTTTAAATGGAGACTGCCATAGGGGCATTAAAAGAGCAAGGCTGGTTGGTGCTGGGACATTCCAGATGGAAGTGGAGCTCTGGACTAATGGGCCTCTGTTAAAACATTGTAGTGTAACCTGCTGAGAGCATGGAGGGGATGGGGATGTACCAGGGAGGGCATTCATTTGTCATTTACTTAAGATAGAGTTGAAAGTACTGCTGCCAGTTACGCATCTGAAGTAAGGGCTGTTTTCTTTCATGCATAATTGAATTCCAACTCTTGTGGCTCTCCTAAGGAGGAAACGATGTAGTTCTCACATTATTTTGACAATATTCCTCTAATTATTAATTGCAAATGAGTTACTGAAAACTGCATTTTACCAGAACAGATTTATTTAAATGTTATAGACTGATTAAATGAAAAAGACCAACTCGCTTTACAGAAGCCATTGCTCTCAATATTCTTAGTGTACTTCTGTCTGGATAGGGAAGTATGTAATCCTTTATAGATGTAACTATTCTTTTTGAGTTGTATTGGTGTATCTTTACATTTGTTTTTAACTTTTATATGCTTTTTTGTTGTTGCTATTGTTTACTTTTGTTTTACTCATGACATTGAGGTTCTCAATTTGATGATTTTCTCTAGTAACTTCATATCCAGTGATTAAACCTTTTCACTGCTGTTCACATAATGAACTGTTGTGATTATTGAATACTTAAATGAGGATATGTAAGCTGCATTAAAGATAGTGTTATTTGCAAAAGATATTGACCATTGCACAGAGTAATTTAAAAGAAAATATCTCTTTTCAGGACTTATACTCAGAGATGTCGGAAAAACATACATGAAAAAGATACATGGGTCTCAGAAGATAATTACTCGAAATATACAGGGAAGGTAGTGTTTCTGTTTTAAATGTGTATTCCAGGAACTATAGCAGTAAAAAATGGATTTATAAAGGCTTTGGTGAAATCTAATTACCTATTTTATCGTATAGAATCTCATTAATTGGCCACTTGAGAAAGAATAACAACAGCTAATGCTTATTGACCAGTTACTACAATACTAAGCTTTTTAGTGTATATGTAGAGATAGTTGGTTTTCTTACACGATATTTATTTCTCACAGTCACTCTATGAAAGCAGATACAAACTTTTTGCTTTCTAGGATTGGTATCTTTTCTTTTTCTTTTTTCTCCCACATGACCAAGTGTTCCCCTTTATTATGGTTCACTCAGTTACCACAGACACATTAGCTCAGGCAGGTCAACTGCCACCTAGGGCATGCTCTGTGTCTCCCAGGAAGGAGGAGGTAGTGGGCACCAGGAAAATTTAAAAGCAGTTCATTGGCTGGCCACAGACCTGAGGATCCCCAGAACTGGCCTGGGCCGTCCTCTACCCCACTTCCAAGCCAGATCAGCCAGCAGAGATGAATCTGTGCCCGCCCCCATTTTTCATACTGGTTCTCTCCCCAGGAAGGTGCATAGTAGCCTGGGGATGCAGCATCCCAGGGCCTGAACAAGCTGGGCCATATACAGGTAACAGGCTTTCCTAAGGGCAGAGCCATATAGGTCTGAGCCAGGAAAGAGGAAAGGTAGGTAGGACAGGAAATCAATTGGAGGTGGCACCCAACATGTCATGGGTGCTAGGCTGGCAGCTGGACCACAGGCCTCCTAGAGCTACCAGAGAAAGTAAGGGAACAGGAGCCAAAGGTCTGGGGGAGAGGGGAGAAATGGAAGGGCCTAGACCTAGGGTCTCTTTTCAGGTAGCAGGGGCTGTGGTAACTGCTCTCCAGAGAGATAATGGTAGAGAGCTAATTATACTTTGTGGCCCAAGGCTAAGGGACCATTAGGAAGGGAACTTTCCAGAGGCCCCTGGCTCCCAGGGAAATGAAGTACTGGTAGGGCCGGCCCGTGGCTCACTTGGGGGAGTGTGGTGCTGATAACATCAAGGCTATGGGTTAGGATCCCTATATAAGGATGGCCGGTTAGCTCACTTGGGAGAGCATGGTGCTGACAACACCAAGTCAAGCGTTGAGATCCCCTTACCAGTCATCTTTAGAAAAATTTTAAAAAGTCAAGGTGGACTAGAAGCCCACTTGTTGGATTCCAAACTGGAGCCATCCCAGATTGGCCAAGTGGGGTTTGGTTTTCAGTAGAACTGGTATCTTGTTGAGCACATACTCTTTTGTCATTCTTGGCTAATTCTACTACAATCTTCCATTCGTTTTCCTGCTATAACTGACTTACATTCTTCCAAATTTTCTCTTTTTTTGGCAGCCAGCTGGTACAGGGATTGAAGCCTGGACTGTGGTGTTATCAACACCATGCTCTAACCAACTGAGCTAACTGGCCAGCTGCTCTTACTGAATTTTCATCCTTTGAGTTCTCACTTTTTTGTTTCAGAAAGCCTTGGGTTTTGAAATTATTGTGACCAAATTTAAAAAGACAGTCCTAAATCTTTAGTTAATTCATAAGTTCTGCATTTGACTTTTTTGGTATGGATATGCATTGTGATCCTCTGTAGCAGTAGTTTAAAAGAAGAAACATCTCAATTTCTGTGAGTCAGAAATCTGAAACTAGGGCTGGGTGGTTCTGGCTCAGGGTGGTCTTATAAGGTTATAATCATCTGAAGACTTGGGAGGATTAGCTTTCAAACTCTCACATGGCAAGTCTTAGTTCCTTGCTGGCTGTTGTCTGAAGACTTTATTTCTTCTTTGCATGTGAACCTCTCTTTCCATGTGAAACATAGCAGCTAGCTTCCCAAACTAAAATGAATGATCCAAGAGAAAAAGGCCAAGATAGAAGTTTGCTTTTTAAAAACTTAGTCCGGGAAGGATATATCATGACTTATGCTGTATTCTGTTCACAGAGACCAATCCTAGTACAGTGTAGGAGGGGACTATATAAGGGTGTGAATACCAGGAGGTGGGGGATCATTGGGAACTGTCTTGGAGGCTGGCTACCACACTTTAATTAAGTACTTTTTAGTTTTTAATTGTATTTATTGCATAAAGGGATTTGTTATTTGACTGTCAAGTAAATTAGAAGTATGAAAGCATATATATCCAAATAAGTGCTCCTTTTCTAAGGTGCATGATTTTCTTCTTGTCCATATACATATAAACTACTGAAGTGATGCTGTGTTCCTTTCGTAAATTTTCTAGAGAATTTATAAGAAAAATCACTTACAGTCAGAATACTCTACCTTGATCGCATGTCTTTTTCTTGGACCCTTTTCTCCTCTCCTAAACTGGTTAGAACTTGACTATAGCTAGAAACTGGGTATCCCTACTCCTAGCATTTTGCTTGGAGTGATGCTAACTTGAAAAGTTGTGCTTTCTGCTTAGAATTTTTCAAGGAGTGTAGTCCAATTACTTATATGCAGTTATACAAATATTTGCCATAGGATAAGGGTACAGATATCCTCATAGAAGCAGTTTGACCTTTTTCCCCAAAGCTTGATTTTTATCCATTATATGAGTATACTTTACTAAAAACTTGCTTCTCCTTTCTGCTGCCTTTTCCCCCTTTATTCTGCTTCTGCCCCTCTTCATGAGCAAAATACAGACCTAATCAAGCAATCAGAATGTTCCTAGTTGGTAAAATACTAATTAGTGCCTAAGATTTGTAATCTTTTGAGTCTTCTTTTCCTTTCATCACTGTTCAAAAGTTCTTTGTTAGCAGAAACAACCTTTCTCCTTTTCCTTTAATGTGTTAGTGCTTCTTCTGATAGTTGGAAACCTTGGCAACTCTCAATAATAACAAAAGCGGTACATATAAAGCAAAGCATAAACCGTTTTAGAATATATTAAGGGATAGTTACCCTTTCCTAACTTCAGGCTTGAGCTGAGAAAACACCACCTCCAGGTTAGCATGAGATAATCAGTACAAAGTAGATATAATGAATACTGTACTTGAAATAATCTTCTGAGTTTTTTCCCAGTCATAGTAAAATTAGATATGTTACCTGTTAAAGAATTAAAAGTTATAAAGATATGCATTTGTTAAGTATATTTTTAAAAGGCTAAGCAATGAAAACCTTATGAGTAGAGAGCTTAAGTTCAAAATAAGAATGTACGAATGTCCAATGATTAAACTTTTTCCACTGCTGTTCACATCATGATTTGTCATGATTAATGTATGTGGATGAGGACATGTTAAAAAAATCATGAGGTTTATATATATGATGTGGTTTTTATATACTGATTTGCCTGTTTTTCCTTTTAGGAATAAAATTGAAGGTTGTTTTTCTTAGAGAACATCATTTGTCAGATTTATTTGAACAAGAATTTGAAGATTTATATAATAAGGTAAGGGGTTTATAAATTTGTTTTAATAAAAAAACATAGAAAAGGTCAGATCTGAGCAAAAAATTGACATTTATTTGAGCATAATGTGAATATTGTGGTCTGAATTAAAATTGTTTTTCCTTATTTTTTCAGCTTTCAAAGATATAATATGATATCAAAGATAATATAATTGTCTAGATTAATAGATTTGATTCAGGAAAGGCAATGGAGGGTGCTTGGGACTTTTAATTTATTAGTCATCCTTTCTTAGAAATAATGATGTAATCCTTTTAGTCCTTGAAATTCTTAGGGATCATGTTTCAAGGCTTAAATTTGCTAAACTGTTAGATATCCTATAAATGACTTAGATATGCCGATGTATGACCATCCTGTAACTTAAAGTTTTGTTCAAGAACAGTAGATAGGAAGCTGAAAATCTCAACTCTAATAATAGTTCTGTCATTAATTAGGCATGTTATTGTGGACAATTCTCAAATCTGAGGAATGTGTATATACCCTGTATAAAGGGGAAAAATTCTTGTGATTACTCAAGTTGACTTAAGTTAAATTTCTATTTCTTAAATTTATACAAACATAAAAGTTGATATAAACTTTGTTTATAGCTCTTAATGAAAAGATTTATGAAGTAAATGCATTCAAAAACAAAACAAACATTAATGGAATGGATGTTGCTGTTTTGCTGAAATGTAAACATGATACTGGCTGCTATGGAAAAAGTTGCATACACATACCATCTTGTGCCTTGTGATGGTTGCTTTGTCCAGAACTTTACTCTTTGCAGACCTCAAGATTATTGTAATGAGGGGAGGAGAGCTAAATTCTCAAATGAATGTCTTTGAACTGTCTTTAAATCCTAATTTTAGGAATTCTGCACTAAATTATCTCTAAACATTCTTCTAGCTCCGGTGAGTAATTCAGAGTCTTGAAATTAACATTCTTTGAGAAAAACTTCAGTTTTTATTTAATCTAGGACTAGGTTAGTAGTTAACTAAATTGGATTAAAAGTTGGTTATTTTGTGAACTAATAAAAGAGTTTTTCTTTTTAGATACAGGTTGTCCTTTCTTTGCACAATTCCAACATGCATGAGTATCAGTTATCACAGTTTAAATACTATCAGTCCCTAACAATATGGTTAAAATTTCAGTTACCACAGTACTGAAATTAGTTGCATAACTTTGCTGCTAGCTCCTTAGTCCACAGATCATTATGCAAATAAAAGATGTGCATCATGATCAATGGCCAATCACATCACTTCTTTCAAAGTCTGTTGGTCACTGAGCATCTTTGTTATTCAGTCCACACAAAGATAGCAAAACACAAAGTACATAGTGTGTTGTCTCCTTGTCGCCCAGAGATTAAACTCATGTGACAGTGTACAAAAATGGGTAGTCAAAATTGGTCAACATAGGTGACGGGAATGAAGAATCAAAAAGTGACGATGCTAGAAGTGAAATTGGATGTGATTAGAAGATGTGAAAGTATGACAGAAAAGCAATGATAGGTTGAGACCTAGGCTGGCATGAAACTACATGTTGAAAAAGTGTAATGAATATAAAAAACAAGGTTAAGGTGCTTTGGCATCTTTTAGTTTAAATTGCACTAGGAACAGACTGCTGCTTATGGTTGAAATGGAGTGTTTACTTCTGCTTTCAAGAAGACTAATCAAAAACAAATCTCAATCAGTTTGGCCACCATTCAAGCCAAAGTATTCATGTTAGTTGCTATGTTGAAAGAAAATGGTGATTACAAGGAGACTGAAAGAGAACCAGTAAAGGCTGGTTTCATGAATTCAGAAGTTGGCATGAATTGATTAATGCTAAGATATTTGGTGACGCTTGCAAGCTCATATAAGGATGCTACTGTGAAATTTGTGCACAGTTTGCAAGAATTATCAGCTTTAATTATAACTACTTGCTTTGCACAGTAGTGCTATACTACCATGCAAAAAGCTTTGCGGATTTGGATGGAATGTTACAGAAGATATAGCAGACTATGGGAATGTTGTCACTGCTGCAGTTACAGAGGCAGTTCTAAATATGCAGCCAGAGGACCTTAGTGAAGGCAAATCTATAGGCATAATTGAGGAAAGTGGTTATAATGTAAAGGATGAACATGTTTCAGAGGAAGTAATGCCAACAAAAAGCTCACATTAAAGGAACTCTAAGAGATATTTCATGACATTGAAAGTGCAAAGGATAAAATTTTGGAAGCTGATCCAAATTTAGGAGTATGGCAGCCAAGACATAGAAAGGATGCTGTCTCCATTTCATAAGTTATTTATAAAGAAATAAAACCATAATTTTCAATGTTTTAAGTCACAGTGCACTAAATACTAGCTTTACATTATTATTATTATTATTTTTTTGTCTTTTTGTCTTTTTCCGTGCCCGGCAACGGATCGCAACCCTCAGTGTTGCCC